TAGTTAAAAAAATAATGTGTTAATTACATTTGTGACTGAACTCCTCGGGGGAGAATTGTATGTCTCCTGCTTTGTTTTACTCACATTCTATCATATATTTCATGTTATAGCAATCTCAGATGATGACCCAGCACATATCGTTTGTTTTAAGAATACTTTCACCGCAGATTTGACAAAACACAAAGAAGGTACCAATGTGAGATTTCTAAATATCGCTACTGCACTCGACCCAAGGTTTAAGAATCTGAAGTGCCTTACAAAATCTGAGAGGGATGAGATGTGGGCATGCTTTCAGAAGTCTTAAAAGAGCAACACTCCGATGCGGAAACTACAGAACCCGAATTACCAAAAAAAGAAAATCAGTCTTCTGCTGGTGGCATCTAACTCAGATGATGAAAATGAACATGTCGGTCTGCACTGCTTTGGAACATTATAGAGCAGAACCTGTCATCAGCATGGACGCATGTCTTCTGGAATGGTGGTTGAAGCATGAAGGGACATACGAATCTTTAGCACATCTGGCACGTAAATATCTTGCGATGCCAGCTACAACAGTGCCATGTGAATGCCTGTTCTCAGTTTTAGGTAACACTGTAAACAAGAAATGGGCAGCATTATCTTCTGTAAATGTAAACAAACTTGTTTGTCTGAGCGATTGGCTGAACAAGAAGTAGGACTGAGTGGATTTTTGGTTCTAAAGCTTTACATTGTTTTATTTTTGAATGCAGTTATTTTTCTACATAATTCTACATTTGTAAGTTGAACTTTCATGATAAAAAGATTTCACTACAGTACTTGTATTAAGTGAATTGAAAAATATTATTTCTTTTGTTTTTTACAAGGCAAATATTTGTAATCAAAATATAAAGTGAGCACTTTACACTTTGTCTTCTGTTGTAATTGAAATCAATATATTTGAAAATGTAGAAAACATCCAAAAATATTTAAATAAATGGTATTCTATTATTGTTTAACAGTGTGATTAATCATGATTTTTTTTAATTGCACAATTAATTTTCTTAATTGCTTGACAGCCATAGTACAAATTGAATTCATTCAAATAACTTTCAATAGGTATAAGGCACCTAACTGCCCTTTGTGCCTCTAAAAACCTTTTCTTTTTTTTTCCCTTTGGCTTTTATTTAATGTACCACCAAATATTAGAGGTTTGTTTGTTTGTTTGAAAAACCTCTAGAGATTCAGCTAGAATTTTCTGCAGATTTTATTAGCTAATTCTCATTCTTTGACAATCTTTAATTGCTAGACAACGTAATAAGTTATTTAATATTTTCTTACTTTAGATCATGCAATAACATCTGGCATTTAAAAAAAATCCCCGAGACAAGTAGATAAACAAAACAAAAGACAAAAAAAACCCTGCATACATCTGGAAGATCTTGCAAAGAATTCAGAAGATATTCCCCACTACGGAATCCATGCATGTCCTCTGTTTATGCACATGAGTGTTGATTCCTGTAATACTTACCAAAATTCTGGAGAAGTGAGACCCCACTCCCCTTTCACACTAGTGTAACTTAAGAAATGCTCCACTGACATCTTTAGAGTTACATGAACATAAGTGAGAGGAGAATCAAGCTTCAGTCTTATTTTATGGTAGATCTTGAGAGCAGCTTGATATTGCTCTGCACGCACACAAGCTGGAAGTTATGCATATTAAAAGTAATTTCAAGTTTTGAGTCTTAATCTGGGAACTATTCTACATCCTTGTCATAAATCTTAGCAGATCCTATTTCCCAATAGTAAGAGAACTGTAAATTTTCCTTGGTAGCTTAGAGTTTGTACAATTTAAAAGGTTGTGTGTAGTTTATATATAGACACACAATGCTGCATCCAGCCTTCTAGACTGAAGTCTCTGCACAGCCTGTTATTTTGAGAAAGCAGGTGTTTGGCATTTTAGAAGCCTGTTGGCAGACAATGAATTTAATTAATTTGCTTTAAACCTTACATTTCAGTTTTTACACTAATTATTTACAGCACCACAATATGAAGCCAATACATAAATAAATCAAACTTAAAAACTGATTGAGTACTGTACTTAATTAAAGAAATTAATGACCCGGAGCATTTTACCAAATCAAAGTCTTAGACACAAGGTTGATCAACACAGCACCAGGATGTCTACCTATACATTTCTAATATCCTCATTACTGTAGTAAATAGGCTTCAACATCTATCTGCTAAACACACAATTCCCACTCACTTTTAGAGCCAAATTCTCTTTTCAGCATAGAGCCCAAGTAGGCAGGCAAGCATCTAAATATCACTGCAATGGGTGCATTAGAAACAGAGGGATGGAAGAGCACTGCTCTTACATTTTTATCTATTCTTAGGTAAGGTTAGTAGTACGTATTGTCCTGTCTGGATCCAATAGGGTGATCAGATTTCCCGATTTTATAGGGACAGTCCCGATATTTAGGGCTTTTTCTTACACAGGCTCCTATTACCCACCACCCCCGTCACGATTTTTCACAGTTGCTATCTGGTCACCCTAGTATCCAATGAGTCCATCCTCCAAGCCCTTCCTGGATACCAAACTCCCATTTATTTCAATGGGAGTTCGACATGCCAAAGACTTGGGAGAATCAATCCCAACTTTGGCAAAATTGTAAGGATGCAGGCTCTGATTCTCCACTGCCTTTCACCTTCTGCCATTATTTATACCTGCACAAAGTGATGTAAAATGCTACCTCACCAGAGGCAACATTTTACAATCACTTTGCATAGGTTAAACGATGACACAAAATGCAAGGCAGAGGAGAATGGAGCCCCTGGAGACTCAGGCCACAATATCTACAGAACTGCATCATTAAGCTAATGCTGGGTAACTCTTGGTTTCCAAAAATTACATTAGTCGGAGTCCAGTTTATGAACAAATAATTGCAGCAAACCAAAGTTTTCCATCTCTTTGTCCCTTGAATGAATTACATTTTGCATTGGGCTTTCCAGTTGAAATCTTGCATTTCTTTCCTCTCCCAATTAAATAAATTAGGCAAACTGCAGAACATACAGAGCCAGATTCACAACTGCACCCAGTGGGTTCGATTCACTGACCATACTCCAGTTTTAGACCTGCAAAAGTCCATTCATGCAATGAAGTAACATGGTAGTAAATCATTCCAATATCCACTGCATGCAACTAGAATCAAGGGGGGCACAACGGGGACAGTTGTGACTCCCAGATTTTGGTCCTAATTCTATGCGGGCCCCAAGCAGACCAGCCTCAAGATCTGCTCAAAACTATTCTAGCTAGTTATGGCCTTAAGAGTCAATACACAAGCAGAGGGCACTAGCACTCTGGATATTACCCTTCCCATTCCTGACAGGGAGTCGCAGAGAGTGGCCCAGGTGCCAGCGAGGCCGACGGTATGCCAGCTTGGGATTGTCCTGAAGATGAAGACTCCCTCACATCAGGGAATTCCCAGCTGAGGGGATTTGATGGTTTCCCAGTCCCTTTGAGCCAACAGAGCGGCACAAAGGGGCTGAATCGCAGAACAATATCTAGCCCCTCCACCTCTCTCCTTCTCATCCTTACAGCAGGCCATCGAGCTGCTTGAATAAATATCCATTTATTGACACTGTATGAACTAACTGAAGCTTTTCATTTTCCAAATAAGAAAACCAATGGCCTAGTAGCTACTGAGTTGGTTGACCTCAGCTTTAGCAGGCAAAACCAAAGAGAGAAAAGGAAAAGTGATAGATACAAGAACTTCCTGCAGTACAATCACCACAATGGATAACCCCACCCCCAATCGTTTTATAGCCAAGGACTGAAACCCTTTTATCTTAGGTACTTATCTGGCCCTCACACCGTAGCATCTGAACACTTAATAAACTTTGATGTATACATCCTCACAATACCCCAGGTCAGGTAGAGAAGTACTATTATTCCTGTGTTATACAGAGGTACTGAGAGGCTGAGGGTGGGATTCACAAAGGCATTTAAGCACCTACCTCCCACTGAAGTCATTGAAGATGATTTAAATAGACTCCCTCTGCTCTAGACTTATTCCATCGAGGAACATTTCAACGTGGGGGAAATGCTGCCTTCATTGGTATTATTTTAACTATTGTTCATGTTCTTCTCCCTTTGATTCAGAGTGCTAATCTCCTCTGAAGGGATTCTGGCCTCTATAACTATCAATGGAGGTGAAGTACAATATGTGCATTGATCTTTGTTCTAGTCTCAGGTCCTACACTACAGAAATCAGAATGGAAGGTTGCATTTAACCTTACTGTATTTGAACTGTTCTTCATTACATGGGGTAATAATTATACTGGAAAATGTTGGTACCTCCTGTTAGGAAAACAAACAAACACACTTCATCATGTTGTGTCTGTACTTACATTGTATCACACTTATCTGCATTATACCATAAATAAGTAAGCTGATAAAACTGTGACTCATCAACAAAAATTATTGTCTGTTCCAGTGAAGCACACTAACTTGTCACTGGGGTATACTATGCACTTATATTGACAATATACACATAACATACCCCAGTGCACTCACCCTACAACATCTGTTCAAAGGGCCATCAATAAAAACAATAACATTCAGAAAAAACTCCATGAAGAGAAAAGAGCTCTGCTCACTAACTACAGAAAGTGTCATTTTAAATAGAGAATTTTCTACTGAGAGATATGTAAAATATCTCGCATATTGCAGAGACAAGGTGGGTGAAATAATATCTTTTATTGTAAGAGAGGCAATATTTGGAGCTTCCTTACATACTGCAGTCAGAAAATTGTCCAAATGCACAACAGGAAATTATGGTTATTGTCTATTTGTTGCGTCTATTATTAAAAAGACAAGAGTTTGGTTATGCACAGATATATTTAAGTATCCTTACATAGTAGCACATGGTGAGTGTATAATATGGTAATAATGCACAGATATTATTAGCATTGTTGGAAAGCTATGGATGATGTATGTACTGCACAGGTATAAATGAATGTTTAAACAAAGCCATGTTACTTACTTTTTATAGCACTGATAAGTGCATTCCCATCTTTAATCACATCCTTTATGAATTTGTTGGTTCTCTCCAGCTCCTGCTCATAACATTTCAGCCTGTCTCGAAAATCCGGACTGTCCAGGTAGCAGTCGCTGAATTCTAACGCAGGATGCCCCATGTTCCTTGGAGAAAAAATTAAAATCAAAATGAAAAAAAGAATTCACCAATTTAAAAAAAATATCAAAATTACTGAAAGCAAATAATCTCTTAGTGCCCAACTCACTCCTAAAACGGCAGAGATCCTTGTCGTTGTCTCCTGAGGATACCAGCTTTGACTTGTATATCACAGAAGGAAGGGGCAGGCTGCTTGGTTGCTCTCTACTGAAAACATAAAACAAACGTGTACGACCTTTGAAGCATTCTAGGTATGACTTGGTACTGGATCCCATTCACTATTGTCCTCTTCTTACTCCTCAGCAAGCCTACGGTGTCCTTTCCATTCCTTACTGAAAATCCACCCAAACAGCAGCACTAGGGGGTCCCTGCTCTCTCACTCCCCTTCTCTGATCTGCAAACGTTAGCTCGACTCAGACTTCTCCCCATCCACAAACACATCTGGCTGCTCTGAATGAACACAGGGGCTGGGGCGGCTGGGTGGCGTCCGGCCAGCTCCGCTCCAGCTCCGCTTTGTGCGAGGATTTCCTTCCTTGTATTCCTCAAGCACTCACAGCCTCCAGAGGCTGGCACCTCCCCTTTCCTCCTGCGCTCTTAAAGAAACAGCAGGGAGAGCTGGTTGTTCCCCCAAGGGAAAGGGACCTCTAGGTCTGTGGCAGTAGTAGTTTCCGCCCCGATCCGCCCGAAGATCAACACAGAACCCTGAGCATTACATTTAAAACAGACTTCCACGGGGACACTGTCCTATTTCAGCTCCTTGAGCCCCTTCTGTTTCTTGCTCACACGTTAGCAGCAGCTCCCCTTTCCCCACATCTCCCTGCAGTCTATTCAGAGAGGATTGTCCGGGGAGCTGCTCATGAGCGCCACAAGCAACCGTACTGCTCTCAGATGGGGTATTCCCCAGGGAATGCCTTGGTGCTGCTGGAGGAAATCTCTTCTGCTTGACGAGCTAGCATCTCTTGTGGACTCTTCCTCGCTCTAGCTGCCTGCACGTGGCTGAGCCCTCAAGGGTTAACACGTTGTTGTTAATGTAGCCTCACACTCTGCAGGCAGCATCCAGGGAGGCAAGAGGGAGGAGACACAATAGAGGCAAGGCAGCTGCTGCGGAAACTGAACCACAATAAATCCCGCAGGAGCACCACTCCCTCCTCCGGGTGGCGCATGCACGGCTGCCTGGGAGGTGTAGTTTTTCTTTCCGCAGGATCTGTATTGTGTATGTGAGTGAGTGAAGAGGTTCCAAGCGCCACCCAGTAGCTCCAAGGGGCTGTTCTTCCAGAGAATCCGGCACTGAAGGGACGAAGTAGCATGGACTGAGCAAAAACTCAGATTGAGTGATCAGTGTTGTCTACTCTGATTTACCTTGGCCCCTAGTAATGTACCCTAAAGTGGGGCTGTGTGACTGCTAAACCACACCTGGGACCCTCACAAAAAGACCATTTTGTGGAGATTTATGCATATGCTATGCATAAATTTATGCATGTGCTAAGCATAAACTTTATGTTCTGTGAGTGATCTCAATGAAGTTAGGCACAATGCATAAAATTAAGCATGTGAGATAAATCTTTGCAGGATTGGAGCCACAAACTCTATTTTCAGTCACAACTTTTTCTTTTATTATTGGCTTGAGCATTTAAGTTTAAAAAAGCATGTCCCTTTAAATCAGCAAACTAGCAGGGCTAAAACCTTTATCCTAAATTCCTGTAATCTGTACACTTTTATTAGCAACTGTAGATAGGAGTGTTGGTTTTGCTCATATAATCTGCAAGTCATTTTATACGTGATTTTCTGTTTAGAAAAATTAACAATTTAATCCTCATTGTTTCATTCAAATGTCTTGTTTAGAACAAGATAAAACATGAGAACTTTTATTTTATACTGATAAAATCTCCATACTATGTCTACTGTGCACACTTCTTCATGAGGACCAAGAGGGATACAATATGTTTCCAATTTATACAAATATGTGATTATGTGTCCTCTTCTTCATTCCTCTTTTTTGTTTTCTGTTAATGCAGAACACGTTTATCCCCTTAAAAAGTCAAGGAAACTTATTAATTGGTAAAACTAAATCTTCCTTCTTTTCCACCAACATGCTCTGAACAGATCAGAATAATAAAATCATATTAGAGTCTGAATGTACTTAAATACTATTAAAGCTGCTTAATAAAATCTCACTTATTCTTTCATGTTGATCTGCACAGTTCTTTAATATTTTGCAGGTTATATTAACAAGAGAAGATGATCTACAAGCACATTGGCCCTAGAGACTTATCTTAAGGTCAAAATGTTGATGTTTTCATCTTCTTTTTGTCAATGTAGCCTGGAACTTCAAACAAACACTCTTTAGAGTAATATGGAAGAATGTTTGTTTACATATTAAACAATAAGGTTCCTCTTCTAACTGTTGTGCTATTACTAAAATAGGAAGGAAACTGGTTAATAACATCTCATTTAAAAACTGTGACTGAATTTATTGCTGCTGACACTGAGGGACTGATAGCATGGATTTTAGCCAAGGACAACACACATGGACTTCTTTTACATTCTGCTGATGCAAATTCAGTCCTGACCTGCCACCTTCCTATTCCAGTCATAGGCCCCCACATGCAGCTCTTCCAAGGCACCTATCCAGACATACAGATTTCCTGATGTTCTTGTGCCAATCTTACACTTCACGGAGACTATTAATCAAGACAAATTCTGTTTTAGTAATATGCATGAATTGGGACTAGACAAATGACACATCTTCACTTGTAGCCTACTAGCCAAAATTTGAGCACAAATCTCTCAACCCACTCTTTGAGCATGATGATTTGATTATAGAGGATAAAGCAACGTGGAAACTTATTTTTATTGACAGGGTTTGTCCATTTATTTACATATTTTTAAACATCCAAACAACTTTAAAATCTCTGTAATATTTTTGATTGGTCTGAGCCCAAATCCTAGGGAACAGGTGTCCACATCACAAACAACCACCACCATAACTGGTATTAATTGATCCGACTGAGGGCTGACACAGAACAGAGGTCAAGGTCAAAGGATCGTGGAACCTGAATGTCTCTTATCCCTAGAGATGGAGGCCTTCCAGATCAGCTTTCAAGAAAGAGCCGCCATTAGGGAATTCTCTATAACCTATATAAAGACTTAGGAAGCCAGGGACACTTATGAGGGTCGGAGAAAATCACTTATGTGGGTGGGATGCTGCGGTGACGGGCACTCGAAATAGCTGGGTGGATAATACAAGGCATGAATCTTTCCACTATGTCCTTCTCAACCCCAGCTCTTGCTGATGTGTGGGTCATTTCATCCTGACACACCTCATCCAGCACAGAGTATGGCATTGCTGTTGCGTGCCAAGCTGCCTGCCCCGATTCCAAGGCACCCCCACTTTCTCTGCTCTCCCCTGCGGGACACTCGGACCCCAGATAGATTGCAGTCCCCCCAGTGCTGTATCCGAAGTGGGAAGAGTGTGCACAGGGAGGAGTGAGCTGCCTTCCCCTCTGGGCAGGCAGGCAGGACATCCAGCTGGCTTGTGACCTGCAAAGGGCCCCACAGAGGTAGGGCCCTGAGAATCGCAGATTAGAGTGGGGGACCCAAGGGTACCTTGCATTGCATGTGCCTATAGACAGCTTCCCTGCAGACCCTCCATGCGGGGATCGTGCCCCTGAATGTGTGTGTGTGTTTGTTTGTGTGTGTGTGTGGCGGGGGGGGGGTTAATGCCAGAAACTGAGAACTCTCCTTTGTCACGGTGCGTGTGGCCCTTTAAGAGCTGAGGCTCTGCGCTCTGTCCCCTTCCCCCACTTGAGTCGGCTGCGTCTGTCCTTTTAAGTCTGGGCTGTGCTGCCAGCCGCCCTTCAGGCGGCTGGGTCCGGCGTTGCCATGGATACTCGGGCGAGTGACGCAATCTCTACGCGCGCTGCGCGGACCGATGACGTAGTGGATCCGTCTCCACGTCGCATCAACAGCAGCCGGGGTAGCGGGGCCAAGATGGCGGAGGCAGAGGAGAGTAGGTCTGGGGGAGCTGCGAAACCGCTGGTAAGAAAAGAGTCGGGGCGTGGCCCGACCCCTCCCGGCGGTGGGAGGTATGGGGGAGACCCAGCACCGCCACGCCTGGGTGGAGGGGCCAGAGCTGAGAAGGGGGGTGCCCGGACTCCTGGATTCTGTTCCTGGCTGGGGCGTGGGGTTCAGCTCAGTGGTTGAGCTGAGGGGAGGGTCTAGAGGTTGTGGATGGCTCATGGATTCCTGGGGTTTGTCCTGGGATTGGGGGAAAGAGGAGTCCAGTGGTTCGAATGGGGCAGGTGTGTTTCCCATTTCTGCCACTGACTTTCTGAGAGACCTTGGGAAAGCCACTCTGTTTTTCCGTGCCTCAGTTTCTTCACCTGTAACTTGGAGACAGTTGCACTAACTCATGGGCGTAGAGGGGATGAGGGGGAAGGCTTAAATAATTACCACTCTTCTCCCCCCCCCCCCCCCCCCCACCCCCATGATAGATGCTAGAGTCAAGCACAGCAATAGTGTTATTTTAGAAACTTTCCTCGGGCACTTTGCAGATCCCTTTATAGGCTCTCCTGAACAGGCTTCCCTTCAGAGCAGACCAGGCTACTCCTTATTTGCTTGCATCATTCAACAATAGGTGTAAAAATCCTGTTACTGCTGTTGGTGGTGGAGAAATGTATTATTCACCACATACACTTTCATTTGGTGCTTCATCTCTGTAGTATATGTTAGGGATATGGATATGTGTATATTGTTCACTTCACAGTAGTCCCTGCTTTCCTGCTGTGATAAATGCATTGCTGTCAATATTATAAAATTATATAGCACCATCAATGTACACAGCTCTTTACAGGACATAGACAAATCTTGTAGCCTGACCCAGAGAGCTTACAGTGTAAATAAGGACAAACACAAGTCATAAGGTAACGGGAGGGAGTACTTGGGATTTATTGATAGGAGAAGAAAATAACCTTTGATTGTAATTATGGTCCCTCCTGCTCACACATTGTGGCTTGCCTCTTAGTTGTGAATTGTTTGAAATAGGGAGGCTGCTACTAGAATACTTATTTAAATATTCTTTTTGTAAAGTAGATTGCTCATTACTCTCTTTATACTCTGCACAAAAATTCCTAGGCAAACATCAGCTATTTTCCGTATTAAAAAAACGTTAAAAAACTGATTAGTTTGCAGGTCTCTCAGATGTGTCAATATCAGAAGACATTCCAGTGGAAGGGGAGATCACAGTTCCTGTTGGATCTCACTCCCCTGATGAAGACTACTCCACATTGGATGAACCTGTTAAAGATACTATTGTGAGTTTTGTATCCCTTACTGCAGTGGTTTTCAACTTGTGGGCTGTGGACCCTTGGGGGTCCGCAGCCTATGTCTAAAATTTCCAAAGGGGTCTGCACCTCCATTTGAAATTTTTTGGGGTCTGCAAATGAAAGAAGGTTGAAAACAACTGCTTTACTGTGTCTGTGATAACACGTGAAGTTTTTCTGATCTCTTGGGCGAAATACCACAAGAAATGTTGGTTTTCTTGCTTTGTAATTGGTTGTAAATTTTAAAATTCAAAATTTTACAAAACAAACTCTTTTGGGCAAGGAATCTGAATTACAAACATAAAAATCCTCAAATTTGTTCTCTGTGACCCACTGAAAATTTCTGTAGTTGCCAGGGCATCAAGCGGGGATGAGGAATTAGCCAGATAATGAAATCTCCTCTTGGAGCAGCAAACAAATAACATTATTAGCTGGATGTTATGAAAAGAGGAATCTAGCTAATTTCATGCACTGGGACTATTATCCAGTTATTGGTTGCTGTGAATCTAATTTTTATACCATTATAAGGCATGCTATAGAAAGCATTTGACCCAAATATCTCTTGATTTAATATCAGTGCTGTGTTATGATTTATAGCTTGCAAAAGTATTTCCCCCTTCATTTTGTTAACACTTTAATACCTGTGAAATGGTGTACTAGAGATGTCATTTGTGTGTTTCAGATGCGAGATCTAAAGGCAGTTGGAAAGAAATTTGTGCATGTCATGTATCCCAAAAAGAGCAGCGCGCTCCTTAGAGACTGTACGTATCAGATTTTTTAAATCTTGGGAAGACCAACATTACAAGACAAATATTCCTAAAAGTCACTGCATCGGTTGGACGAAGTCTTTGCTTTAATGAAATGTCTGGAAAATAGAATAGCCATATGTTATTTCTCTGCAAGATACAGAATAACAAAAGCAAATGAGACAGTTGTGTGAAGAGGCAGAACAACACTAACATCTCTTTAAAGTGAACTGTTTATCAGAATGAATCCAGACGTTCTTAATTTGAATGCATCTTTATATACAGTATATGACACCACATGTTAGCTATGACAATTTTGGGATTGGGAACTGGAAAAGGGGTACACTGGGCTGCTTTAATACTCTTTTTTGCTAGAGAGATACTGTTCTGAACATCAGTATCTGATGTCATTCTGTTTCTTTCTCTACAGGGGATCTTTGGGGTCCTTTGGTGCTGTGTGTGTCACTTGCACTGTAAGTACCTGTTATCTTTCTATGTGTGAATGGTGGAGGGAATTTCTGACATGTCATGGTCAGGTTACTCTAGTGCTTAGGCTGGTGTGCTACAGATATTAATGGTGAAACTTATATGAGCAATTGACTCTCTAAAACCCTAAACTTATTAAGGGCCTCTCTTTTTATTTGGGATTTTAGGGTAAATGTAGGTAATAAATTATTCCTGTCTAGCCCTGCTGTCTTGGGGATAAATTATATTGAAAACTACAGAGGTCCTGGTAATTCTTGATTTTAGTGTGTACAGCAAGTATTCTTTGGGCTAAATGTTCTGCATTTTATATGCGTTATCCAGAAAGAGAAATGCAAGCTTTGTTGCTCATCCACACCGAGACACTCATGTGATATGAAAACTCTGGGTTTATTATTTTTTTTTTGTTACCCATTTGTCATTTCAAAATACAACTGAGGGCAGTTCCAAAGCAAGCTTACGCTACTGAAAGTCTGCTCAATTGTTTTTATTTTGCTGCATAATTGTAAAGCACGAAAGCCTTAATCTCTTCTTTTGACTTTTAAAATGCTGTTAGCATGGTTGAATCAGGAGGCACTATCCCATGGGGCAAGCTTATATATTAGAAGAAGTTTCTATTTGCACCTTGCACAACATGGTTGAGTTATAGATCCCTAAGGCAGTCAGTTTTAAATCTGTATGGGTATATAAAAAGACAAACAAGAGCAAGGCTTTGATTCTCCTGGTTAAAATAACACCATCCTTAACTTTTGCAGCAATGAGTGATGATCCATAAGGTATAACTGTTGGATACTATTCTAAAAAAAACCTAGTTACTATATCACTTTTCCTTTTATATATACAGCTGCAGTACTAAGTCATCCATGAGTTGTACTAATGGTCTGGAAGCTATAGCTATCGACACTTCCCCTTTTCACCTGACCAATGTTGTGTGTTGGAAAAAACAAACAAACCCACCATGAGGATAATTTACTTTTTATCTATGGTAAAATAAATGTGCATGTACATAAAAATTGTATATAGTTGACTGTCTTCCTCCATTCATTTAACTTGTCATCTTGGCTGTAATTTTTTCAGGGTATGGACCATGTATGAGCTAGGCATACAACACAATGTGACCCCAATCTGGATTAGGCCTTCTGGGTCCTACTGCAGAATACATGTTTAATGTAGCAATACTGTAAGAATACATCACTTAGCATTTCATATCTGCAAAGTATTGTGAACACTAATTATTTTCCTCATTCCAATGAGGTAGGAATTAATTTACCCCCAAAAGTAAGTTACTTTAAATGATCTGAAGGCATCTGGAACTAAAAAGTGTGTATCAGATACTGTCTTCAGTATATTCCCTATCAGATTCGAACTGTGTTGAAAGAGCACAATCTACTTGACATCTAGTAATATTGAAAGTAGTTTTGACATTGCTATTTATATTGCAGTGGCACCTAGAAGCCTCAACCAGATTAGGGCCCCCTTGTGATAGGCACTGTACAAACATAGTAAAAGGCACTGTCCAGAACGATACTCTGCAAATTTTTCAGAAATCCATGGTTCAGTCCCTGGTGACAGCCAAAATGGTGGCGGTTACCTGTCTTCCATCTCTGACCTCTCCTTTTTATCTTTAGATCCAGGTTCAATTCCTTGCTTTGCTTGTGTGACCTTGGGCATGTCACTTAGTCTCTGTGTCTCATTTCTCCACCTTAAGATAGTTAATAGTATTTCACTACTTTGCAGGAATGTTGTGAGGATAAATACATTAAAGATTGTAAGGTGCTTGGCTACTAAAGTAATAGGGGTAAAGTAATAGTAATCTAAATATATGTACTTCAGATTCTCATTTACACTAAGGCATCCTTATGCTGCCAGAACAGTGTAATAAAACCTTTGTGATCCTCATTCCAATTACTCTAGTTACACCTGCTCCTGAGTCTCCCTGGCCAATTTGTTGGGTTTTTTTTAAGTTGCAGTTTCCTATTTTTTTTAAAAAAGTGGTAATGCAAAAGATCTACATCAACAAAACAGAAATTGATTAGACATAAAGTACTGTCAACTGCACAAAGTAAAGAACCTGTGGAGCAAATTAACTAATTTTTCTCATCTTTCAGTTGTTGTAATCTTGGGTATTACACGTAACAGTTGTAGGTAAAATCTTTTAGAGAAATGATTTTTTTTTTAAATGGCATACCTTTCAATTCGGTCACGTTTGTTTCATCTGTCCAAGCCTCACTTTTAGTCCCTCGTATTGTGGTTCAGTGGATAGAACTCAGGATTCCAAATCAGGAGACTTGAGTTCTGTTGCTTGTAACTCTACTAACTCATTGTTTCTCCTTGGGTAAATCACTTGTAAAATGGGAATAAAACCCACCTTTGGAAAGTGCTTGTTGATCTATGGGACAAAGTCCATTACTACCACATTCATACCTTCTTCTGTGCTGCCCTTCTGACTTTCCTTAGCTTTGTACATCAGTTCTGTCTCATTCAAAACCTTTCTTAATCTATCTGTTGGTAATCTCTCAAAGTAAGCAGTGCATCCAAATCTGTTTTAAAAATAAACAAATCCTCCATACCACTTTAAGATATGACCTTCCTTTGACCATCCACTGTTGTATGGCCTCCATCATTGTATTACTGAAGTATCTTTGTTTGTCTAACTTGCACTATAAACTCCATGGGGCAGGAGTTGTCGTCTTCTCTTTTGTACAGAACTGATCATGCTATAAACATGATAAATAATAAACAAAGAGAAATTTGACTCCAACCTACCTGAGAGTCATCATCTCTTAGGCTTAATATAGCTGTTAGAAATAAAACATGAAATAAAGTTACTGCCCTGTGATCATCTAGTATTTTGCTCTGTTCTCTGCCTCAGGATGCTTCAGGGAGGGTCAGCAGACAGTAAAGAAGATGGAGGTCCCCAGTTTGCTGAGGTCTTTGTTATCATCTGGTTTGGAGCAGTTGTCATTACACTAAACTCAAAACTGCTTGGAGGAACCATGTGAGTATCCATATGAACAATAGCAATGAAAATGCTCTAGTGTGTGGAGTAACATTTTTGTTACTTAGACACAACTTCCTTGTCTGTCTTCCTCCATCTCCCTTTGCCCCCTTCTAGATCTTTTTTTCAGAGCCTTTGTGTCCTGGGTTACTGTGTCCTGCCTCTGACAGTGGCTATGCTCGTGTGCAGGCTGGTACTACTAGCAAGCTCGGGGACTGTCAGCTTCATTGTGCGACTTGTTGTAGTGATGGCTATGTTTGGCTGGTCAACCCTAGGTAAGGAAGTTTTGGCAACAGAACTGTATCATGGATGCAAAGGAATTAAGAGTTTAGTCCTTTTTCTGTTAAGAAAGGTGGGCCTGCCAGGCAGTCTGCTGGTGGCATGGGTCAAGAAGAGATCATGGTTTGGGTTCTCTAAGTTGGTGAGGTTTTGTGGAAGCAGCACTCTCAGCCCTTGAGGTGAAAGGGAGTCTGCCCTTCCCCATGTCCCAGCTGATGCTCATGGTCAAAGCCATGTTGATGGACTCACATTTGCTCTGCAGTTAGCATTTCTTGCCTGGAGGAAGGGTTGCTATAATATGTTGCTTTTGAAGAGAAGAAGAACAGTATATTACACCAACATAGGAGTATTAGACCAGGAAATAAAGTCCCCATGTTAAATACCACTGGAAAACACTTATTTAATGTAAACATTTTTGCAGTATTTGTGCCAGTCTTATTTTGAAAATATGTTGCCTGGCATGTAACATCCTCTAAATGTTTCCTTTCCAACTGATAAAGGAAGACATACAAGTGGTGAGGGGGAGAAATGTCTTCAGCACAAAATGTAGGAGTCTTCTCTTTTTCCCTTCACCTTTAAATGTACAGGAGATCCTAATTTAGCAGCATTTATTGGTTTCTGATTCAGTTTGAAAATCTTTTAGCTTTGTGCACATTTCAAGTGTGTTCTCTCTCTTTGTCACCAGCATCCACAGCCTTTCTGGCAGACAGCCAGCCTCCAAATCGCAAGGCTCTTGTTGTTTACCCCATCTTCCTCTTCTACTTTGTTATCAGCTGGATGATTCTCACCTTTACACATCAGTGATGAGGGATCAACAGAGACTGCACAGAGAACTGGAAGTTTTCATAAATACTGCTGTTAATTTGTGGGCTTTATCTCCAATGCATAGATCTTGCATACTGTAAAAAAGCAGGCTATGGGATAAAGCCAGAGAGCTGAAGAATTCATCATTTCTAAGATTGAGATATACAAGGAGCCAGTTGTTTGAAAGATACTGAAATCCAGCTACTGAATTTTATTTAATCCTGCTGTTTAGTATAAATAAAAAATGCCCAGTCTGAGAAGAGAGGAATGCAGACAAAGGAAGGCAGTTTCCATGAGAATGGAGAGGATAAAATCCTATCTTGGAACTTCAAGAAGATTGATAACTGAAGACTAGGTAATAACTGTCTGGCTTAGCAGAATTCCCATTCATGCTTGGAGTTCTCTTTAAAATTGCATATTGCCCTATGAATAATAGAACACATTTGCTGACCCATGGGAAGAAGGGTATCTAAATCCTGGCTCTTTCCTAGATGTGCAAAGAGGTGAAATCTATACAAAGTGCATCCCGGGCAATAATTTTTCCTTTTCAGATCAAATTTCAGGTCTCAGCAAAAATACGCATGTTTGCTCCATTCGTTTCATTGTCAGAGCATGTCTGAAGGGAGCTGTTTCTGTTCACACTGATGCAAACTGCTCTTGTGCACTTATGCACTTCAGTCATTTCATGTGTGTCATTTTAGACAAACTAAATGTCTCAAATACTAGTGTGACACTAACTGATCCATACAATTTCACAAGGAGATGGTGTTTGCACTGGACACTTACGAATTCCCCTTTGGGTAACACAAAATCAGAATGTCAAAGTCCAGAGGAAGGCTTCAGATTCTTTACTTTGAAGGTGATGGCACTGATTGCTCAGCTATCACTCTACAACTTTTGAACAGAGAATTGGGCAGGTGGAGAGCAGTGTACCATCGCTGCAATGCATTCCTACTGAGTGAACTGAATTTTTGGTACTTGAGACGTTTGCCGATTAGCATACAAAACAAGGACTCAAACCTGTTGTTATATTTAGGATGGAGGAATGAATTAAATGGTCCATAAGTGAAGGTGTTGGCTGCTCTGAACTAGTATGGGGATCTGGTGCTTAATTGCTTAGAGTAACTTATTGGTTGTTTAGAGGGATGGCATTTCCACGTAAATGTTAGTATTTTGTGCATATGGCTCCTGCTTTTGGTAGGGGGAAATATGAAACTTCTGTATATTTAGACTGAATATTTATAAAAGGGGATGGAATCTTCCTTCAAATATGTGCTATGTGTACATGCCTGTTCCACACCTGCAGAAGCTGATACAGATACACAAAGATAACATTTGGCATAGGTACTGTTTGAGAGTCACACAGAGGTTATTTGTGTTGCATAGTAAGCAACACATGAGGAGAGCTGCAAAACATCAAAACTTGGGGTGGAGGTAGGGGGGGAAAAGTTGCTGTTCAAATATATAGTTAATTCTAAAGATGAACATAATGTCATGCTTTCTTATGTAGTAGTAGATGCAAAATAGTCCTGAAATTGACTAGTCAGATCCTATTTGATGTAAATATACTTAGTTTTATTTTTAAATATAAAGTGCAGATCTCTTTCTAAACACTCGTATACACACATGTTTAGGATCCCAAATCACTGACTGTAGATTGTAAGAAATTGATTCATGTTTGGCGGGCACAAAGGTTGTGGAGAAAACTGATTTAGTTACTCCCTGCGAAGACCTGGGGCTCCTGCTTCTTCCTGTCTGCAATAGTTGACATCAGTGAGTTTGCGGAGCAGACAGCTTCATTTACTGCCTTTCTTATGCTATATTCATTTGCTGCTGAGGGAGCTGTAAGTATTCAGATTAAAGGATGCATTTCAAATATGCAATGGTGCATTTTTAAGTTCATACTCAAATTGTTACTGATATGGGATGTGAAATGGCTTTGTATATTTGTTTTTAAAGCTGTGCAGTTCACCTTTTCAGTCCAGTTAAATCAAGTGCACTTTATAAGATGTTAAAAACAAATATCTTAGGCAAGTGAAAAAGATAGCAAATCTGTTAGATCATTAAAATTAGACTCTTTCGGTCCAGTTACTCATTTCTCTACTCAAATGAGTACTCTCTTCAAGATCAATGGCATTGTTCATAAGAGTAAGAATTACATAATTAAAACCTAGTTGTGCACACTTTCCAGAAAGTCAATCTTTTCTGAATTTTTTTTTCCAGTGTCTCTTATGATTTAAACTGTTAGATATGAATTTCTTTAAAATAAATAACGTAATTTATCAATATCTCCTTGAGAGGGGACAGTGGTCAGGAAAGAGGAGTTTTTAATTTAAACTACAAATGTTGTGAGAAGCATGATTTAAAATCCTCCATGCTTTATTTTGTTTACTTCTGAGCTTCAAGGTGGCTTGCTCTATGAGAATTAATATATTGCTCTTAGGTTATGACTGGAGGAGGAGGGTTATTTTTGTTGATTTAATCATTTAAAAGTAGCCATTGTAGGGTTTTTCGTTAACGTGAAAAGGGGTAGGGGAAAACGTTCTGGTTATACAGTGAAGGTGTAACTTTTGGCTGGTAGCAGTAATTCCTTTAGTGTGGAAACTGCTCCCTTTCAAAGCAGTAAAGTCTATAAATTCAGATACACCTGCTTAGAAAGCATAACTCCTTAAAGTCTATAGCCATGTACAACAGGATGCAGGTGAGGAACTGTATATATTCTGAAATTTCATGCTTCCAGTTGAATAAACCAACATTTTTTTTTTAAAACCATCACTGCTTCTAGTTGCTACAGTTCATTGTTTCAGTAAATCCACCCAACTGCACTAAAATTCCCCTGATGATACCAGTGTATTTCAAGTATGCAAAAAAAAAAAAAATTAAAACCCTTTAAAAACAATTCTCTGTACAGCATTATCTTCTGTTCTGAAGAAGCTTGTCTGCATATCTGTCTTGGTCTATTGAAGGAGGAAGGGAAATGTTTGTATTTTGGAAAGTCTAACCCTTTTTGTAAACAAAGCCTTATCTTATGAAAAAATATGCTGAGAAGGCAAGCAGCCCTGAATATGGGCATCAAGTTGTATGGATCCACAGTTGCTCCTTTCTGTTGATTTTTATTTCAATTCATAAAAGCTAGAAGCTAAAATTAGTCTAATTTTCTATGATTCTTGTGAACAGGAACTTGACTGATTATAGATCAAAGATATTACTATAGCCTGAGGACTTTCCATCTTAAGAGTTTGATTGTGATGTCCGAAATGTATGTGTTCTGGAGTGACTTATCCAAGACGCACACATTACTCATGTTTGCTGTAGTTAAAATACACCTAAAATAGTTATGGGTAACCTGAAGTTCCTACTGATAAAATGTTTCCGTACTAATATGTGGACAGCTAAAGCACTCAGCTACAGATGTTCATCTGTCAGATGGAGAGACAAGATTTGCACTCTTCATGTATTGTTCACAAAATGTTATGATTGAAATTTTATGTTTGTGCAGCAATTCTTCTCTTTGTGAGGTTTGGGGACACACTTAAAGGGATACCAGCAACTGAAAAAAATCACACTTCTGTCTGAAGCTTTTTCTGTTATTAACAGCAGGTACAAATATGACTGTAGCTGAATAAAATTTGACAGCATTTTGTGTACAGTTAGCTTACCGCTGTTTAAATTGATTGTTTCCACAGCATTTGGGTGGAGGTCAAGGATTTTAAAATAGGAAAATGTAACTCTAAAATCACAAATGTGGGCAGGTTTAACACCTGCCCCTACTTCTAATTTATCTTTAGAAACTAATTCCAGTTGACTATGTTCCTTCAAAATTGCAGCATTGTATGAGTAGTCCGTGGTAACATATATTGAGTGGTTCTAAATCTACTTTCAACATGCTTATCTGATTGTAAATCATATAGCCATTGTATCTGGCTTATATCTTTGTATTCCTCCAAAAGAATGTGTACAGTTAATCCATATAAGCACAATATTTATTTGTTTATGGTTTGAGGATGCATATGGTCATTTGCTGTCTTACTTACCAAGGGGAACAGTGTCTCTTTTTCCATTTTAACGCTGGTGATGGGGAGAGGGGAAGGTCAGGGTGTGGGGAGTAGAGTAGACTTTTTGCCTTAATGAAATGTATAATTTTTCTGTAGTGAAAGCAGATGCTCTTCTGATGCATAAACCGGTATTCTTTCCCACTCAAACTTTGGCAGTGTCACTTGTACATTTTGAAAACCCCTTTGAATCTGAATTGAGTTCAGTCTTCTTCCCTTATACCTACTGGACCTGTGAAAAAGAGAACATGTAAATTATTTGTTAAATTTTAAAGTAATATATTAAAATACTGAAAAGGACACTGTGTGTGGTTTGAAAGTAGTGTATGTGCTGTACTGCTGACTGCACTCTAGGATCTATGTTAGCTGGCAGTTCTCTATAATATTTTTTTAAATACCAACTTGGACAGTCTTTATGGTAAGCATTATGCAACCTGAGCTATCAGGACCTGGGAGGGAACACAGCAGCTACCTATCGGGCCGAGAGCATTCTTGTGACAGGCTCTAAAGGAAATCCTATCCAGCCTTTGTCCAAAGGAACATGAGTTTTATGTGGTCTTCAGGGAAGATGGTCTGAATTAAGGAAGGATGGGGAAAGAAGCACTTCTTCTTTCTCCATTGGCTTGGGTTTTGTGCTTGTAAAATGCTCCCATGGGTATAAGTAACTGGTGAATTCTGACATGGTAGTATTTTGCACCCCGTTTTCACATGTCTACACACCAAGGTGCAAAGCAGGGGAGAAAAAGTCCTAGCAGGACTTATCCTATTCACTGTACTAAAAACCTCCTATATTAGGGGAGGAACACAGCTCCCATTAGGGAACTCTGTTAACACTTCTGTGGGTTGGTTTAATAATTGTACTCCCATCTGATCCATACTGGTTCTGCTCCTGCTTAATCTGTGCCCCTCTCACACCTGTCCACTCACATAGGCTTCTTCAGGTGAAAGGGTTACTAAACTTTCAGTGTCCCTGAATGCAGCTGATCATGGTCCCTACCAGTATGAACATCAGGAAACAAATAACCTAGTTTCAGTTATCTTGCAGGAGTAATTTGCTGTTGTCCCTTATTCACTTGAAAACATACCAACACTAATGTGTGGTCTCTCAAGACATGGGCAGTGGGGGAGCTTTTCCACTCGTAACTTTTTGTCGTAATGTGACCCTGTTTGGTACTGTAGAACTCCTGCTTTTTAGTATAACTTACTGAGCTATTATTTGGTGTTACCCATATTTCTAATGAAAGACTTGGGAATGAATTCATCCATATTGGGTTTTAAAAGATTAATAATCTCTTAGATGCACATTTCTATTAGTGATATTTCTTACTGCATGATTGTACAGACAGGCGATGTTACAAGGCATAGGTAACCCACTCTTCATGCTGAATCTCCTTACTGCATTGATTAGCCCTGTAGTAACTTCCCTTCCAAGCAGATAAAATTGTATATGGAACTAAATTACCTTTTTAAGAGCTGTATTCCTTCAGCCAAAGAACTACTTACTTCCTGAGGGGCTAACTGTTGTTAATGGTCATGCAACAGGCACAAAACATGCATATATGTCTAATCGCTACTGTGTTTGAATCAGGTACTGAACTAGGAGGAAGTAACAATAGCATGTGCTTACTTATTAGCCTGCAAAGACCTGGCAGGTAATAATAACCGGATGAGGACTTTCAGCTACTCCAGCCTGGCTTGGATTTGAGCCAGCTACCTAAAGGTGTACTTATATAATACCTGTAGTGGTTTATCCTCAGGTTACAAAGTGTGAATGCTATTCCGAGTACCAGTCACACTTGTTGGGGAGCTAGCACTAGGGAAACAACACAATCACATTTTTCACTCTCTAAACATATTACCTTCTTGATGTGCTTCCTACTTGCTGTGCTGCCATGCCTATATGTGGATTATCAGTGTTAAATAAGCAGTGGTTAGCTACTTGCCCTCCAAAATGTACCATGCTGTTAATGTCAAATCTGATTTACTTGAAAAATATTCTTGCCCAAGTGGCCACAGGGGGGCAGCATTACCTTTACAAAGAAATTACTATTTAATTGCCTCAATAAAGAACAGAAATGAATATTTGCATCTCTGTGCTTCACAGTCCCCCTTCACACCTCCCAAGAAAGACTTCAGAAACATGTGTCAGCCTGTTCTTTCATTCCAAGTCTATTTTGTGAGCATAATCTCTGCCGTGAAATGCAGTACATGGAATTTAGAGTTTTGCAATGACCAGCTTGCTAGATTCTCTGTCATTTGAATGAGTTTGACTGTATGGATTCTATCAATTTTCCCCCTTCTGTAACTTCATTTATTGTATTTTGAGGGGAGAGTTGAGAGATTTTATTTTAAAAGGAACAGGGTATTTTTTAAACAAAATGCTAAGTCACTGGAGGAGGATTAAATGGGAATTGTTTTTAAAAAGAAAACAACAAAAAACATAAGCGATGCATAACAATACAACATCAGATAAAATTGCTTGCAGAAAATCATAGAGATGGAAGAGACTTCTTCCAGTCTTCTCTTCAGTCCTTGAAAGTTCTTAAACACAATAGCTTGCCTGCTTTTGCAATTTTTGCAGTAATTGCTCAGTACTAATGTAATTTTACTCTTGGCAAGGTCTGGTTTGGTGAAAAATTGAGCAAATGAGTTATAATTACTGCATTTGGGTGATAATTTTAAGACACTTTTAGGCTCACAGCATCTTATGATCAGTATTACATTAGAGTAATTGCGCAATTAGTACTAAACTTCCGCCCACCTGTCAGCTTTTGCTAAGACAGATTTAAAGATAGGACTATGATTATGGAGTATTTGCTATTTGGTAGCAAGCTGCTATGTTTTTTTTACATATTAGTAAAAGGAATGTTAGCAAGATTAGTCTGTCAAAAGCTTTTTGCTAATGCCTGTATTTGAAATCCATGTTTTTGTGATTTTCGGATAGGATGGGAAGGGGTAAAGAGCAAAATCCTTGTCTCCAAGCTGGGAAAACTATTTTGAGGATATCTTGAATCACACGGAGAAATAGATAAATTAGGTCACTAAATCTAACAAAGAATATGTCAGGGGGATTTGATGCTCCCAGGAATTAGGAATAGAATACAGAACCTATTTTCCTAAGAACATAAGAATGGCCTACTAGATCATACTAATGGTCCATCTAGTTCAGTATCCTGTCTTCTGACAGGGGCTGGTGCCAGATGCTTCAGAGGGAATGAGAACAGGGCAACTTATTGAGTGACCCATCCCTTGTTATCCAGTCTCCGCTTCTAGCAGAGGTTTAGGGACACCCAAAGCCTGGGGCTGTGTCACTAACCATCTTGGCTAAGAGCCATTGGGAGACTTGTCCTTCATGAACTTATTTAATTTTGAACTCTGGTTTATACGTTTGGCCTCACAACACCCGCTGGCAATGAGTTCCACAGGCTAATTGTGCATTATGTGAAGTATTTCCTTTTGTTGTTTTAAACCTGTTAATTTCATTGGGTGACCTTTGGTTCTGGTGTTATGTGAAGTGGTAAATAACACTTTCTCCAGACTGTTAATGGGTTTATAACTATAATATCCACCCTTAGTTCTCTCTTTTCTAAATTGAACAATCCCAGTCTTTTTAATAAAAAGAAAAGGAGTACTTGTGGCACCTTAGAGACTAACCAATTTATTTGAGCATAAGCTTTCGTGAGCTACAGTTCACTTCATCCGATGAAGTGAGCTGTAGCTCATGAAAGCTTATGCTCAAATAAATTGGTTAGTCACTAAGGTGCCACAAGTACTCCTTTTCTTTTTGCAAATACAGACTAACATGGCTGTTACTCTGAAACCAGTCTTTTTAATCTTGTATGGAAGCTGTTCCTCTAATACCTCTAATAATTTTTGTCCTTTTCTGTACTTTATCCTATTCTAATATCTTTTCTGAGATGAGGTGACCAGAACTGCACACAGTATTCAAGGTGTGGGTTTACCATGGATTTATTTAGTAGCATTATGGTATTTTGTTTTATCTATTCCTTTACTAATGGTTCCTAACATTCTGTTAGCTTTTTTGACTGCTGCTGCACACTGAGCAGATATTTTCAGAGAAGTATCCACAATGATTCCAATCTCTTTCTTGAGTGGTAACAGCTAGACCTGTCATTTTGCATGTCTAGTTGGGATTATGTTTTCCAGTGTGGATTACCTTGGTTTTATCAACATTGAATTTCACCTCCCATTTTGTCAGCCAGTTTTGTAATATCCCTTTGGAACTCTTCGCAGTCAGCTTTGGACTTCACTATCTTGAATAATTTTGTATCATCTGCAAACTTTGCCCCCTCACTGCTTACCCCTTTTTCAAAACCATTTATGAGTATGTTGAACAGCACCGGTCCCCGTTCAGATCCTTGGGGGGGACACTGCTATTTACCTCTCAACCTTTTTTTAATCAGTAAACTAGTTTTGCTAGAAAAGTCACAGAAAGTGACTACAGTCAAAGCAAATTCTTTTAAAGTCTGGACTAATACTTGGAAATTTGTTTACAATATTTGCCCAGCTCTACTTATACTTTTAAGGAAGTTGGTGGTTATTTAGCATGGTTGGAATTTTCAGAGCAGTGTGGAAGTTCTATCACACTACACTCATCCATTGTAGAGGGAGTTGTGTGGTTAAAATTCTGCAGAAAGCTTTGAAAATCTCACCCCACATCGTATGTTTTCCCAAAACAAATCTGAATAATTCTTTAAGATAGGCAGTTTTCAGGTTGGGGACTGAAATATTTTCTAACCCATTTACCTTTGGCCTGTTACCAAGCATGTGATGTTTCAGCGCCAAAGGAAAATTTCTGAGAAATTCACAAGTGAGTGAAAACAAAATGCAAGCGAAAATTCTGAAAGTTTGCACTTACTGTTGTTACAAGTGACACCTGGTATGACCAGAACAGAAAGATCCCAGAACAGCGTCATTCTCTCATATTCAGTTTTCCGCTTTTTGAACTTGTTAGCAGTTTGAGTATTGACAGCTTCACTAGTTTCCCTGTGTAGTGAGTTAGCTTGTCATTTTTGCCCCGTACTATCAGTTGTTTGTGAGAGTCTCTCCCGCTGCTACAGTGCAGAGGGAAAAGCATTTTAAAAAATAGGAAAATGTGACTGTCAAACCCGCAAGGGTTTTGGAGGGGCATAAGGGTATTGATAGACCTGAAACTACTTCAAGCTAGAGCTGGCCAAAAACCAGAACATATTTTCAGTACTCCCCCTCCACCCTCAATTGCCCTTTTGCTCGAAGGTAGAGCTGGTCAAAAATTAACCCCTTTTTAGAGTCTAACTCTA